CGACCTCTCTACTGCTTGAGCCACAGCGCCACTTCTGGTTTTCTAGTGGTTTATTGTAATAGTCTCACCAACTTTCCTGCCCAGACTGGCTTTGAACCATGATTCTCAGATCTCAGCCTCTTGAGTAGCTAGGGTTACAGGCGTGAGCCATTGGTGCCCGGCTATCAGATTATTTCTAACCATGAAGGAAAATCAAATTTATGTTAAGTTTACTGGAGACTACCAAGCTACACTGGGAAGCCGAGAAACACATTCAGAGTAGTAAATGGCCTAATACTCTGTGCAAGCAGTAGGCCATCCTTACTTTTAACTGAAACATATTTAAAAAGAAACAGAAAGCAACTGTATTCCATGTTACTGATGAAAAGGCTTTGCTTTGGTTCCCTGAAACCCGGTTTCTCCAATGATGATACAATTGTTCTATAATCAGTCTGTTTTCATGGAATCTATATTTTTGCTGCCCGTGATATTGTGTCATGGTATATATTTTAATAATTTGAATAAACAATTTAAATATTTCTTAAGAATCCATGTACCAATGACAAAATTTTTATGAAGGCATTTTTTCTTGTTATTTCACCCTTCTTGAAATATATATGAGCAATACTATTGGGAGGTGTCTTAGAAACTTTACTTGTACCTATATGGTCCCTGAGCAAAGATCATACTGTTACACAGCTGGGGAACAGTCCTTCCTATAAACAAAGAGACCAAGGAAATACCATCTTTGTTGATTACTTAAGTTTCTATATAATTCTGCTTTGTTCACAGATTTTTTCACTCAGAAAATAAAATTTTATAAAGGACATCATATAGATATTATTCTTCAGAGAATGTATATCTTTCCTCTAAAACACAAAAAACTTTGAACTTCAGGTGGCCCTTGAATAAAGTTTAAAAAATTAACATTATTTTTAGCTTAATGAAGCAACTCATATACAATAGCAGCAATTTCATAATATATCATTTCATTTCTATAAGGCAGGATATTTTATATTTTATCAATGAGGATGACATCTAATCCATATTTTAACATAAAAAGATAGGAAGAAAATTACCATGAAGACAATGTTATGCACATACCATATAAATATATCATGGGATTTAATTTAAGTAGAAAAATATGATACAGTAACTCTTAACAATTTTAACACATACTTTCCAGTTCATTGTTCAAGAAACTTTTAGAGTACTTAGTATGTGCCAAGATATATACCAGCTGCTAAAAATACAGTGTGAATGAAGCAGGCAGAAGACCCTGCCTTGAAAATGGAATACGGGTTGGCAGAGAGTTTATCTAGCACAGATGCAGCACTAGATTTGATCCCCATAACTGAAAGCAAATCAAATGAAACAAAACAAAAGGCAAAGTAAAGTGAGATTTATACTGTAGTATACATGATGAGGGTTTGGGGCTTGGAGAGGTGTGGAAGAAAATAGAGTATACAGTTTTTCAGAGGTACAGAGGATCAGAAGGGCAGGTGGGAAAATGGTTTGGCTTATTGATAGGATAATATTTAAATAAAGTCCTAAAGAAAGTCTATGAGAGACCCCTGTGAGGCAGTAGCAACAGAACACTAAGGAAAAATCTTGCTTAGGAGAAAAATTAAAATGCAGATTATGAAAAAAGGCATAGTTATATATTTCAGATGTGTGTATACATCGAGGTGATAGAGATATGTATCTCCATGCATGTATGTATGCATTTACACATGTATGTGTTTTGTATGAGATTTGTATGTACATGTGTATATATATATGTGTAGTACATGACTGTGTAGAGAAGTGTCATCACGAAGGACTTTAAAGGTCACTGGAGGGATATGAAAATTTACTGGAAGATTGCATACAGAAAAAGGAAACAAATTCCTATTCTATAGAACTTGAAATGGTTCTATTTGGTTTTGGTCTTATTCAGCACAGACTATTTGAAACAAGACTGACAAACAGTGAGGAACCAAGATAGAGGCACATAACATACACAATGGTTAGAGGTAGTGACATACAGAAGATGTGGTGGAAAATTATTTGTTTTAGTTACAAGTAGAAAGGAGCAACAATGTAATTTGCTATTGGACTAAAGGAAATTGAAAGACAAGTCAAAAGTGAAATTAGATCTTTGACCTGAGCATTTGGGAAGTTAGTATTATAATAATTCAGAAGTGACAGATCATAGAGAAGGGAAGTGAGAAATACCTTATAATGAGTAGTAGTAGCTCAGTTCCCTAGTAAAGTACAGTGCAAGATAAATGCATTATGATTCCAATTATGATTTTGATAACCTGTTCTGAACGCAGATATTCTTGAAAAAAAAGAATGTTTTTTTCTGGTTTGGAGTGTTTTGTAATATTTTCCAGTATTTTTAATGTTAGATATAATTACAGCAGGTGTCCAAATCCTCTGAAGACTTTGAAAAATATTCTTTGGCATAAAACTCATGAAGTTTTACGGCATCTTGTATTTTTACTATGATCATAATAAACTTTAAGTTATTCAAAATATGGCTAAAATGTTTCATATTCAGCTTCCATGAAGTGTACATGTTTTCAAAAATTTGTCATTAACTATTTTCTAGGTAACATGAAGTTTGATTGACAAATAAAAAATAAGTTGGACCAGTTCACAGGTATATAGGCTTTCAAGTTTAAGTAATAATTTTGGGAACATTTCACCTAATTTTTATCAAGACAAAGGGAAATTAAGGAGCAAAAGGAAAAAAAAAGGATGTGGTTAGGTTAAGCCTTAGTTGACTTGATAAGCTGTAATCATTTTAATATTGTGACTTCTTTCCCAATTTACTATAAACCATGTCCATTAAAAAATTAATAGTTAAACTTTCATTTAGAATTTTAGGTATCCAAGGATCTTTACTGATTTTGGAGTGGGGGATGTCTATATATGGAGAAAATCTGAAGCAGTCCAGGTTGTAGAATTCTTGTCTAGAATTGTAACAATAGAGTAAAATGAAGAAGGAATGTCAGTAGTAAATACAATTGAATATTTTATTGTCATTCAGAATGTGTTTTTTAAAAATTATAAAACAGGGCTGGAAAGGTGGCTCAGTGGTAGAGCACTTGCCTTGCATGCTCAAGGCCCTGGGTTCGGTTCCTCAGCACCACATAAGCAAAAAGAAAAATGCTGAAAGTGGCGCTGTGGCTCAAGTGGTAGAGCGCTAGCCTTGAGCTGAAGAGCTGAGGGACAGCGCCCAGGCTCAGAGTTCAGGCCCACGACTGGACCCAAAAAAAAAATTATAAAACAATATATTGTTAGTGTATGAGCATGAATGAATGTGCATGTAGGGGTGTGTGTGGTGGAGGAGGGAAAGAGTAAAGGTTTAGAAAAACTGAACACTTCATAAGAGCTTTTACAGTGAAATGAGGCACAGGAACGTGTAATCTGTTTCAGAGGAGCCTTCTTCTTCAATCCCACCTCAACCCAAATTTCTCTTGGCTGCTAAGTAGATTTTGATCACAAGTAAAAAATATAGGTAGAACAACTTTATGAGAATTTAAAATGCTATTAAATTATAATACATAAGCCAGGCACTGGTGGCTCATGCCTGTAATCCTAGCTACTCAGGAGACTGAGATCTGAAGATTGCAGTTTAAAGCCAGCCCAGGAAATCTATGAGACTCTGATCTCCAATAAACCACCAGAAAACCAAAAGTGGTGCTGTGGCTCAAGTGGTAGAGCGCTCACCTTGAGCTGAAGAGCTAAGGGACAGCACTCAGGCCCAGAGTTCAAGCCCCATGACCAAAAAAAAAATTATAAAACATATTACTCAAAATGTCATTGATATATTTTTCTTTCTTTTCATGTCTTATGCTTATGTAATTGGAATACAAAAGTATTTTGTGCATGATCTTAACCTAATTATGACTGAGTCTCTTAGACTCTAATTTATGGAAAATGATAAATAGCAGTTTAATTAGAAACGTACTGCAAGTTTACTCTCCAGGTGATGAAATTGTTAAGTACTACAACATAGTAATGACATTCTAATAGCAATGTATTAATTTTAATATAAAATTTGAACAGCAATAGCAAAAAAACCAAAACCTCTAAATGTATAAGAGTTAAAAATTAAGTCTAAAACTTTACCCTCACTTACACTTCTGTACAGTATAAGTGGTAAGCTACAGCCTTTTTCAGGCATGGGGATATATCTGGTCTAGGAGCCTTGTAAGGCTAGTAAAATCATTTGATCTACCCCTGCCAAGGACTGTATGTGGGTACTTAAACTTCATCACATCTAGGAGCTTTTTATCAAAGTGAAATTCAATAAATCTAAATCTGTAAATGATGTCATAAATATCCAAATGACCCTTACAGGAGAAATATTATCTACCCCTGCCAGTAAACACAAAAGATATCATTTAGAGGCAAGAGACCATTTAAGGATTGGGGTTTCTGACATCAACTCTGGGAGCAGACTTGTTGATCTTCAGTCTGCGAGGAATGACCACAACTGAGCTGAAATATCTTACAGCAATTGTGGCAGTTTACCTTCATCTACTCCTGATTATCTGACTCATTGCATTTCTTTTTCTTCTTTTTCTTTCTTTGGCTTTTCTTTCATTTTGTTTCCAGTTCTTCTCTCTCTCTCTTTCTTTCTGTCTCTCTCTCTGTCTCTCTCTCTGTGTCTCGCTCTCTCTCATTCACTCACTCTCACTCGCTCTCTCTCTTGCTCTCTCTCACTCTCATTTTCTATTGTCCTTTCTTTCTTTCCTTCATTCTTTTGTTTTTATTTTATGCCAGTTGTGGGGCTTGAACTCAGGGCTTTAACTCTATTAGCTTCTGTACTCAATGCTAGTGCTCTACCATTCAAATCACATCTCCATTTCCAACTTTCTGCCTGTTTATTAGAAACAAGTGTCTCATAGACTTTTCTGGCCAAGTTGGCTTCAAACACTGATCCTCAAATTTTAACATTCTTGTGGAGCTAGGATTACAAGTATGTGCTACAATGTGGAATTGGTTGTTATTAATATAAAGACATGAATTGAATATGCAATTTAATTGTTTTTCTTGGTACAAAATATGGAGCCTAATATTTAAATGATGAAATCAATGCCAATAAATAATTTATTCTATAGTCATATTATTGACATAAAAATTCAACATTTGTTTCCATGAAACTCCTGTAGAAACAGTGAATTTACAAAGTAACTGATAATATTTTATAATGAAGTTATTTCATAAGGCATTACATTCTCTTTTTAATCTCTATGACAACAAAAAATAATTCCCCAAGAACCCTGTGATGTGAGGACAATAAAGATTATTTTAAAGCAAACACAATTTGTTTTTCAAGTTGTTCCAATGTTTAATAACATCTGCTATTATTTATATTTTTATGTGCTTCTTCAATCAGATACAAATTTTAGTAGGGAAATAATCAAACATTCCTAGAAATGAATTGTAAACAACTGTGTTTTAGAGTACTAAAAGGATTTTTTTAATGTTCAATTCAGCAAAGTTAATACCTTCCTCTAACTAAAACAATGAAGAAACAAAATGTAGACACCTCCATGGCTGGGGGGAAGGATCTTCAAGCCCCCAAAGTCATGTTTCTCAGTAGCCACTGTTGGGATCTGCTTCCGCTGCAGTCCTGCATGGTGGGCACCATTTTGTCTTCTTCAGAAGGTTCGTCAAGACACTGGTTACTGTTAACATGTCTCAAGGTGAGTCTCTGTGAACGATATTCAATAATCAGTGTAACCTACTTCATCTTTGCTACCACAGAAGATTAAACCTGTTCTTTAAAACATTCAAAATAATATTGGAACATTTTATACTGTGAAATGATTATAAAAAGAACTGCATACAAGTGTCTCTGAACTAGTTATAGAATCATTATTGTCTAATATACCTTAATAAGAAGATAGTTTAAGAAACTAGCCTACACTTATTATGGGTTGCCAATAATTCAGACATCTTTGTAAAAGACCCATTTGTGAGCTTTGTGTCCTCTTGAGGGCTAAACATTTTAGCAAGTTTTGCAAAAGCTTGGTTTTCATAGGCACGTGTTATTTAGTAACTTTGATTCACATGTAAATAGATGTCACAACTACAATCCAGATGAACAAAACTGCTAGAGATATTCCCATTTCAAAATGCTAAACACATGGTAATATCTGAAATATCAATTGTAAAAAATGATTATTATAACAACAGGTAATGTGTTCTGTTAAAGTATACTCACCATATCATTTTTAAGAACCCTAACACATATCAATATCAAACAAATAAGCATGTCTTGATCATATTTTTTCACAATTCTAATGATTATGTCAATCACTATACATCATTTCTCTAAATTTACCATACATATTGAAAATCACATTGTGAACTTCCCAGATATACATTTAAATTGTGTGTGTATGTGTGTGTGTGTCTGTCTATGTGTGTATGAGTGTGCATGTGTGGTATTTGAACTCAGAGCCTTGCACTGGCTAATCAAACCTTCTACTACTTCAATTACTCTCCCAGCCACCACTATGATTTCTATAATTGTATATAAATCTTCTCAGATTCATTCCCAGAAGATATTACAAGAAAAACTCTCCAATCATAAATGCTTGGATGTGTGTGAAGTGACTTTTAGGCATATTTTGAAAATAGCACCCAGGACACTCCAGAGAAAATTACGAGTTAAGAGTAGATAAAGGATTTTTTTGAATTATTTTTTGACTCAACATTGAATTGGCTTGAAAATGAATATACAATGTATGTAATACAAATAGAGAAAGACCAGCCAGACAATTGTAATCTGTCGAGATTAAGCCTAAAACATCCTGAACAGAAGTACTTTGAGACAGATGGAACAGAGGATAGCTTTGTGGAAGATACGTATGGACAACAAACAGGAAATTAAAAGAGCTAGGCTGTTTAGAAGGTAATTTCCACACTGAGCCCTTCTGATTTGGCTCTTAAATACATTGACTCAACCCATTTGTAATAACAATGAAAAAGAATATAATAGAATATAATTTCTAATGATAGGCAAGAGTTTGGATGGTTTATTCTTACAAAGCTACAAAACTCAACTATCCATTGGTTGAAAATAAAGCCACAGACGAAACAAAAAATTTTCCATACTTGTTATAAATTTGAGTACACACACACACACACACACACACACACACACACACACACACACACATCTTCTTTTTACAAACCTAAATCACTTAACATTGAGTGCTTCTATGAAGTCCTTTGTTTAAAAAAATGTGATTTTTCATTCACATATCTATTATGTTAGTGCTCATTGACTATCCCAGAGAGTATTGCCATTACTTTGTTTTAATCAGGTTTGTCACACTAATTACATACTTTGATCAAGTATCAGTACTTAGGTCATAACAGAACATACACTAAAAATATTTTCCATTAGTATTTCTGAGAACTGTAGTGCCCTGTGGGGACTGAGATTGGCTGCAAAACATTTGAGTGGTATATTTAGAATATGAATGATGCTGGGGAAATCCCTGGTTGTATGGAGCATGTTTAACCTTCTACAGTAATATTGTCAAAAGACAGGAATGTAGTCAGGCATTGGTGGCCCATGCCTGTATTCCTAGCTATTCAGGAGTCTGAGACCTGAGGATTGTGTCAGCATGGGTAGGAAAGTTTGTGAGACTCTTTTCTCCAATTAACCACCTAAAAACCAAAAGTGGAATTGTGGCTCAACGTGGGAGAGCACTAGCCTGAGTAAAGAAACTGCATTGTATATACCATAGAATTGAGAAATATGAGGGAAGGGTTGGGCCAAAAGGGGGTGAAAATGTTGAAGTGCTTTGTTAAATGGCAAAAAAATATTCAATATATAACTATAGATTAGTAAGGAAAAGGGTGGGTTGGGAGATATTGGTGTGAATGTAGGAAGAAGTGACCTTGATCAAGATGCACTGTATTCATAAACTGCTATGGTGAATGGCAACTCCTTTGTTCAACTAATTAAAGAAAATGAAAATACTAAAAGAAATTAAAAAAAAAAGTTCCCAGGCCTTGAGATCAAGCTCATAACCACCATCAACAACAGGGTAATCTGAGTCTTTAAAAGCAGTAGGTGGAAGATGTATCTCTGATTTAACTATCTCTGTATGTTAAATTCATTACTCACACTGTGAATGACATATAGGATTATTCCTATATTATTCCTGTATTGAGAAATGCCCATGCATTTCACTAGTGTCTGTTGGTCAGTTTTACCTTGAATAAGTTGTCAATGACACAAATAATAACAATGGATTAAATAGTGGTTAGTGTTGTTTTTTTGTGTGTCTGCATATGTATGTGCAGGCTCTGGGGCTTGAACGCAGTGCCTAAGCACTTTCCCTGAGTTCTTTTGCTCAAGACTAGTGCTTGGCTACTTGAGCCATACCTTCACTTGCAGCTTTTTGGGGTTAATTGGAGATTAGAGTTTTACACACTTACCTGCCTGGATTGGTTTTGAATCTCAATCCTCAGATTTCAGCCTCCTGGGTATGTAAGATTACAGGTGTGAGCCACCAGTGTCTGGCTAGTATTGTTCTTTCTAAAAAAATTGATCAGTATTTTCTTGGAAAAATGTATTCATAGGCTGCAAAGTTAATTTAAAAAAATCAACACTCTGTACTCTAATGGAATACAGAAAAAAAACAGACATTTCAGGTTCAAATGGACCTTAGTTTTGATTTCTCTACCCTCAACCTACTATCTCTGAATACTTGGATAAACTATTAAATCTTCTTAGTTATCAGTTTGTCTGAAAAAAAAAACAACAACTGAGATATACTTAGCAAATACTTCTTAATACCTTTCTACTTTAGATTACATAAATTGATCTTCAGTCAATTAACTCTGAGACCTTGGCAATGAAACAAAGGTTAAAACTGCCAACTATGATGCTAGGAAATATGACTTATGGTAAAATGTTCTCTGAGTGAAAAGTTGTATGTTGCCTCAATACTTCATAGGAATCCAAAGTGTGGTACACTTTCTAAGTGTAAGAGAGTATGGTACACTCTTGAACTTTTGCATGTCCTGTTAGGGTTTTTACCAGAGATATCATATCAATAGTGAGGATGAGGTTGTTAAGCTAGGATAGTTTATATACCTGGGTGTTGTACATCTCATAACCTTGGGCCAGGGTGTCACCTGGTACAGGCTGGCTTCCCAAGGGGAAGAGAATCAAACTGTTGTTTCTGCCCTAGAACTCTGTTATAGCTTTCTGAGATTAAATGTTTACTTAAACCCCCTGTTGATCCAAACCCCCGCCCCCCTTAACTTCTCATGTGTCCAGTCTGGTAATAGGCAACATAAAAGGCACTTCTTCAAAGAACAATAACATTCAGTGATAATTAGGACATGTTCTTATCTGCCCTGTTTATAAGAATTCCATACCAGTTGGTTCACTTGAATGGAATAATACTTCATTCATTTCATTATTTACCCAGGAGACAATCACAAATCATACAAGTGAGAAAGGGTACCACTGCAAAATAGGTTTTATTACTATAATTATGTCATCTAAACAACCAAAAATCCTCAAATACAATTTTCTCCATAAAGGTACTGAAATTTACATTGTATATTTAGTCATTAATAATGCATTTGCTTAGTGTTGCAGATGAAAATAATTCTAATTTTATGAAGAATACGCTATGTTTGCACATACCAAAGCATCTCTATAAAAGTTAACAAAAATAAATAATCTTAGTGTTGCAAAAACAATCCATTTTTAGCTCTGTTAGCTTTTGTTAAATATAATTTAATTGTGATTATTAAGGTGTTAAACAGAGGGATTATTGTTTGACAAGCCAAGTAATCACTATATTTCTTTTTGGACAATGTCACTCCTTCCTTCACTTTTCCCCAGTTTATCCCTTCTATTTCTGCGATCTGTTAGCTTTTCTTCTTAATTTATTTCCAGCTTTGAGGAAGAATCCCACTGTTATATAGACATGGCTGGCCTTAACCAGAACTAAAATTTCACAATTCAGTCCATTAGTTATATTTACATACATATATATTTGAAATAAAAATTTGCTATTGATCCATTCATCTACAGTGGGACATCTGGGTTGGTTCCATATCTTAGGTATGGTAAATAATGCTGCAATAAACATAGTTGTGCTGGTAGCTTTAGTATGGGATTGTTTGTGATCATTTGGGTAAATGCCCAAAAGTGGGATTGCTGGGTTATAGGGGAATTGTATGTAGAGTCTTTTGAGAAACCTCCATACTGCTTTCCAAAGTGGTTGAACAGGTTTACACTTCCACCAACAATGCAGTAGGGTTCCCTTCTGAAAATATGGTACATTTATACAATGGAATTCTATGCCTTCATCAGAAAGTATGTTAGGAAATGTAAAGACTTGGAAAAAATTATATTAAGTGAAGTAAGCCAGGCCCAAACAAACATAGATCCCACGGTTTCCCTTATTTGCAATAACTATTATATGTCTGAGACAAGCAGAAACAGTCAGACAAGTTGATGTTAGGTGAAATGAACCCCAAGATAAGGACTCAAATGGTTTTTCTTTCTTGTCATTTTTTCTAACATATTTGTAAGATGATTTTTGTGTTGCTTTGTATGTCCCTCCCCCATGGCATAACCCCTGTTTTCACTGTATTTGATGTTGGTATAATTTGTGGAGAGGAAGGGAAAAAAATTGTTCAAATAGGGATACAGGTGGACCCACTGCA